TCATTTTGATCTTTTTTCCAGTGACATCACAGATATCCCCCCCCCCCCCCCATCTGACTCATAATTCCCTTTTGGCGTGCTGGTGTAATTGTCTAGTTCCCCGAAACAGTCTTTGTTCTCTTTTTGTTTCGTTCCAAAAGTCGTAAATTTCGACAAAACCAATTTTTCGATTTGGTCAATTTGTGACACAGACTGATTTTTTGGTTTTTCTACGATTTCTTTTCCTTCTGCCTTGGTTTTTTTTGTACCAAGGTCATTAATTGTAAAATCATGACGTTTATTGACACACATACCAGGTATAAAAGAAAATTGTTTTTCTTCTGATTTGTGTCTTTTATTCATTTGAATGAAGGAAGTTGACTTTTTGGTTTCTTGTTTCGTTGAACTCTTCAGAAAGCTTTCATTTTCAGCGTTTTCCTAGATCAATTCAAAAGTTTGTAAATGCCTAGAAAATATTGTTTACAGAAAAGTTTGAAACGGAAGTATATACATTTTCATGATGTCATCTAAATCTGCCTATTTGGCAAATATTCGTGACTATGGCGAAAAATAATATATATTGGATCTTCTTTCTCTAATTTTCTGGTCTTTCGAGCGATTTTTGATTTTTCGAGCGAAACTTTAATTTTCAAGCGAAGTTTGAATTTTTGAGTGATATTCGAATTTTCTAGAATTTCTGAATTTCTGAATTTCTGAATTTCTGAATTTCTGAATTTCTGAATTTCTGAATTTCTGAATTTCTGAATTTCTGAATTTCTGAATTTCTGAATTTCTGTATTTCCGAATTTCTGAATTTCTGCATTCCAACTTTTCATTTTCCACCCCGAAAACTATGACCATACATCATCTTTTTTTTGAAAAAAAAAGACCGAAAAATAAAATGAAATACGGGCGGCGGTTTGAGATTTCCATTGGGAAAAACGGATTAACCCTTCGATTTCGGCATCCCACTCTGAATTCTTTTTTTCGTTCAGTTTTAATCCCCCACTCGGCCAAAATTTTTACATTCTACCCCAAGTTTCATGACATTTCATAATTTTTTAATTTCAGGCTACAAAATACCCTAAACACTCTAATAGAACGCCACCCGAATCGTCGAACTTGAACCCATGTATCTCATTTTCTGTAAAAGATATCGAAAAGTTGTCAACTGATAAAATATTGCTGATATTATGATAAACATTTTATTCGTTGACAACTTTTTGATTCCTTTCAAAAGAAGTGAGATATATAGGCTCAAAACGGACGGTCCGGTTTTCTGATTTTTCGATCCTCCCAAAAAATTTGTGTAATTTTTTTTTCCGAATTTTTAGGAGCCACACATGTTTTCCATTTGCTTTTTGATCTTTTTGTTTTGCCGTCTTTTTTCTAGGACTTGGGGATTAGTCACAAAAATCACATTTTGATTTTTCCTAGATTTTTCTGTTTTTATGGTTTCTGGACTATTTTTATAGCTAGATTATGACTGAAATTTTCGATTTTGAAGTTTTTTTGCATTTTTTGATACCTGGAAATAAAACTAGAAAAAAAACACTTCCGAAAATTGAAAATCAATCCTTTTGTTTATTTTTTTTTCCTTTGCAAACTCCAGATGTCTGGTCTTTTGACTCCTCTCCGCCCAGGTTTTTTTTTGTTCATGGATTTTCTTTCAATCTTTTTATTGTTCTTCTCTTCCTCAGCTATAAAATGGCAAACTTGACGGCCTTAGTTTTACAGTTTCTCGCTCAGAGGAACACAACACATAGAAATGAAGGTGATCGTTTTGTTGGGTGCCAGTTTGCTGGTCGGACTCGCCAGCGGACAACTTTCATCTAGTAGAAGTGAGTTTCCAAAATTTCGGCTGATTTGGATCAATTTTTTTATTTTAAAGCTTCAATTTTCAAAAAAATTTGACCCAGTTTGGTCCATTTCGAACCGAGTTAGGGCTCCTTGGATATCGATATCTAGAAGTTTTTGCTAAAACTTTGAATTCCTTCCAGACCAAGAATGCAAGGATCACGAGACATTCAACACTTGTGGATCTGCTTGCGAGCCATCCTGTGAGATCCCAAACCCAGTAAGTCGTCAATTGCAACTTTATCCTGAGCTGACTCAGCTTTCCTAAGCTAGCTTAATATCGGTTCAGCTGGCCAGAGCTAGTTCACAGTACCAATCCATAAGATATACAAAAAATGGAGTTTCCAGTTGGTTTTCAGGCATTTCAGGAGACTGAAATCAAGGTTCTAGCACCTCTAGGAGCTAAGATACACCCGTTTGAAGTTTTGGAGAGACGCAGACAGTTAGAGTGTCTCGTCGTCTGCGTCTCTAGCCCCCAAAACTTCAGATGGCTCAATCTCAGCTCCCAGTGGTCGTAGAAAAGTGATGTTGAAAACGAATTTGGACCTAAACCTAGTAAATATTTTTTTTCCAGAAATTGGAAGTTTCAGTAGAATCTGGTACTTACAGTATCTGTCAATAAGATATAGAAAACCGATTTATCAGCTGAGTTTTGGACATTTCCACCAATAAATTTTTGTATATTTTTATTTCAGAGTTAAAGAGCAACAAAAATTAGAGGTTTCAGTATCAAAATCATATTTCTAGGACCACTGGAAGCCAAGATACAGTCATTTGAAGTTCCGGAGGCTAGAGACGCAGACGACGAAACACGCTAACTGTCTGAGTCTCTTTTAACTTTGAACGGCTGTAACTCGGCTTCTAGAGGGGCTAGAATGTTGCTTTTTGGAACTAAATTGAAGGCCAGATTTTAGGAAAAATTGAAAAAAAAATTCAGGTACTGTAAATCTTTTTTCCAGTCCTTCTGCACCATGCAATGCGTCATCGGATGCCAATGCGACTCTGGCTTCTTCAGACGCTCCGATAATGCCTGTGTGAAGAAAGAGGAGTGTTCTCAAACAGCCAATGCTACTGCTCCCGTGCTCCCAGCCATCCTTCCAGCTCCAGCCAACACCACCTGTGGGAAAAACGAGGAGCACAACACGTGCCACAACCCATGCACCGAGAAAAAGTGTCCCCAGAAGAATGCTCCATTGGTGAACTGTTTGATGGCTTGTATGGATGGATGCTCGTGTAAGAGTGGCTTTTTGAGAAACATGCAAGGAGAATGTGTCAAGGAGGCCGAGTGCCCAGCTGTTGGTAGGTCTTAGGATCCTTGATCTCTCGTAGGGTCAGATTTTCAGAAGCTCCTGTCGATGAGAACCCATGCAACCTTGCCGAGTGTGCCGCTGGACACAAATGTGTCCCGAAGAATGGAGAGGCCACGTGTATTCCAGGTAAGCTTCTATAATTTTAATTGGTTGATATCTCACCCTTGAAGTTTTGTGTTCTATCTGTCCTAAATCCCTTTGTCTGCTCATTCTAACGAATCGGACATCTTCTATCCTTAAGTTAACCCACACCTCTGTTCCACTGTCCTGTGCGCACCCCCAACCCAGTGTCAAGTTGTCAACTCACGTGCGCGTTGTGTGAAAGGTACCAAAACACTTCCGCGAAGCTCGAAAAATGCAATTTTAGTACCAGAAGATCCACCAGCATCGATCACCTGCGCCAATGTCAGATGCGCCGGGCGTGGAGGATGTTTGATGGTTGAGCCAGCCGGATGCATTGGGTGCAAGCAAGGACCACAGTGTCTAGCTGATCCATTAGAGAAAAGTGAGTCAGGGTAGAGTTGGAAGAAGCTAGAGTGAGCTAGAGTTAGCTAGGGTTAGTTAAGCTAGCCTTAGTTAGTCTAAGGTAATCTAAGCTAGCATAAACTAATCTAACCTAGTCTAAGCTAGTATACGCTAGCTCTAAGCTAGTCTAACCTAGTCTAAGCTAGTCCAAGCTAGTCTAACCTAGTCTAAGCTAGTGTAAGCTAGCATAAACTAATCTAACCTAGTCTAAGCTAGCTCTAAGCTAGGCTAAGCTAGTCCAAGCTAGTCTAAGCTAGTCTAGGCTAGTGTAAGCTAGCATAAACTAGTCTAACCTAGTCTAAGCTAGCATCAACTAGTACGAGCTAGCCTAAGCTAGTCTAGGCTTGTCTGAGACAGCTTAATCATCTAGTTTAAGCTACTTCAAGGTAGTCAGGGCTAGTCTAAACTAGCTAAAGATGATCTGAGCTAGTCTAGTCCAGTCTAAGCTAGTCTCAGCTAGTCTGAGCTAGCCTCGACACATCACTTCCTTTCCAGCCTGCGACAACACCAAATGCAAGTCCTCCCACGAATGCGTCATGGTACAAAACACTTGTGTCAAAGCCCCTTGCCTTCCAACCCCAGAATGCCGCCCAAAAAAGCTCATCCAGCCCTTCCCAGTCCGTGAGCCAAGGCAAGTCCAAGACGGAACCTGCATGACCGTCAGATGTGGAACATCTGGAGGATGCGCTCTGACTCGCCCAATGAGTTGTGACACCCTCAAGCCAGATGGAAAGTGTCCACTTCGTGCCGGATGTGTTGAAGAGAATCCATGCGCCGCTACTAGCTGCTTGGTTGGTACTCAATGTGTACTTCATGAGGTTCAATGCATTCGTGCACCATGTCCACCAATTGCTCAGTGCGAGCCGTTGAATGATGCACCGGCTCCAGGAGATAAGAGATGTCCAGGAAAGAATCAGAAGTGGGTGCAGTGTAAGACAGCTTGCTCCGATGTGAATTGCAATGAGGAACCGGTGAGTACCATGGAAATAATAGGGGTCATAAGTTCGTCACAATAGAAACCATATTAATTTTTACCATATTTCACCATTACTCATTATCATATGGTACATTTACCTTTTATCCTATGGTACCATTGCCCTTTGTCAAATGTTACCATATGAAGTCTATATATTGGGACATGTTAAACTGATACAATGACATTTTATGTCCGTTCCATATGGTTAAGTTGGCCTGTACCATATTGTACCATATGGGACCATAGGAACCATAACAACGATATTTGTTATCTTTTTTTTAGATTAATTTATAACATATAGTCCCTAATTTTAAACCAAATCGTTTATGGGAACCATATGGTCTAATTTCACCCATAATAATCCCAATTTTCAGCGCATGTGTGCCCAAGTGTGCCGTTCTGGAGGATGTGTCTGCCAGGAAGGCTTCTTCCGCAACAAGCGTGGACAATGTGTCACACAGAACGATTGTGACGCTCAGAAAGGAAACATTTATTGATTTTCCCAACAAAAAAGCTTTATATACTTTTTCATTTTTCCTGTAAATTAGTTCTTTTCTTTTTCTGAAATTTTCAGTTTTGCCATTTTTTTCAAATAAAAACAACTTTCAAATCTATCCTTTTGTTTCTCTTATGGGGGGTTTTCGGTTTTCAGATATATTTCAAAATTTTCAGACTATTCCGATACTCCAAGTCCATTGGCTCCACTGAATGATAATGCCACAGATTTTAATAGTAAATTTTGAATTTCGAATTTCCCGCCAAATCTCTTAAATTCGGATTTTAGTCCAAATCACCCCATGCTCCACCATGAGATGCGCTTCAGGAACCGAGTGTCAGAACTTGGAGAGAAATTGCACAACGCCTCCATGGTAAGTGATAAAATCGTGTTATGTGGTACCATTTCACTAAAAATATGGTACCATTGCCCTTCACATTATCGTACCATATGGTCCCATTGCCCTTTACCGAATAGTACCATATGATACCATTTTCCTTCTCAATATCGTACCACATGGTACCATTGCTATTTACCCTATCGTACCATATGGTACAATTTCTCTTCACCATGTCGTACTATATGGTACCAAAGTCATTTACCATATTGTAGTTTATGGTACCATTGCCATTCATCATATGGCACCATATGACACCATTGCCCTCCATTTTAGCGAACCATGTAGTATCATTGTCATTTACCATATCGTACCATATGGTACCATTTACCGTTGCCATATCGTACCATATAATACAATTTTTCAAACTTTCAGCGAGACCTATGGAGCATGTGTGAACACTACTGTAGTGGACAACTTGGCCGGTGGATGTGATACAATGAGATGTGAAGCTGGAGAAACTTGTCAAGAAGCAATGGTCAATGTGCAAAGGCTCCATGGTAAAAAATTGAAATTTGAAAAAAAAAATATTCAGAAAAAAAATTTCAGCCCCCGTCATGCCATGTGTGTTCTGGACATGACCCAGAATGACACTCTGAATAGCTGTGCCAGTGTGACGTGTCCAGTTGGAGAGAGCTGTGAGGAGACTACTGTACAATGCTTTGTGGCGCCATGGTAATTTTTTTTCAACTTGAAAGTGTGTATTTCCTTATTTTTTAATATTTTAATTTTCTTCACATTTTACGATACATTTTCACCTGTAGAATTTTATTCGAAAAAATAGAATTTAAATATGGTAGATTACCGTGGTACCATATGGTAATTATGGTTCCTATGGTATCGTAGGGTTACCATTGTTTCTACGGTACCATATGGTACAGACCAACGTAAAAATATGTAAAACATGTCTCCATATGTTGGCGTCCTATGATGCATGGCAATGGTACCAATTGGTGAAGTGCAATGGTACCATATGGTACAGGCCAAAGTAATCATTTGGGACAGTCAGAAAATGTCATTTGAATCAGTTGAAGATGTCCCCATATTCTGACGTCCTATGGTACCAAGCTAAACACGACGAGGCTCCGCCCACTTTGAAATTTCGCACGCGACGCACGACCGCGACGCGTCTGAAAAATCAAAGTGGGCGGACCCTAGTCGAGTTTGGGCTCATTTTGAAGCATTTTTAAATTCAATTTCAGTTAAAGAACTTAAAATGTCCAATTTTTGAAAAAAAGAAAACAATTCCAAGAAATTTTTTCTGAATTTTTTTTCAACACTAATTTTTCCATAAAATTTTATGTTATTTGTCACCTACAGTAGATCAATTTAGTCCCAAAAAAGTGTCCTGTGTTCGTGTGCCCATTGCATTTAACCCCAATCGCACTATCTATGGCTGTGAAGTTGTCAAATGCCCCACTGGCGAAGTTTGTGAAGAATCCTATGCTTGTCCGAATCCTCCATGGTACCGCCAAATTTTTCTCGCATTTCTCATTCTAGAAATTTAGCACTACTCCATACATCTCTTGTGTGCCATCTTCTAATCCGCGTAACTTTTCTACAGTAACCTGTAAAAATGTCAAATGCCCGGATGACGAGATTTGTAATGAGACATTCCTGAACTGTGGTGATGGGCAGGCTTGGTACAAGCTGACCATTAATTCAAAAAACATAATTTTTCTGTTCTAGCACTCCTTACATTTCCTGTGTTCCAAAATCTAGTGGTTGTGGTACAGTAACCTGTCCAGATGGGGAGAAATGTGTAGAACGAAACCTAGATTGCTTGATAGCTCCGTGGTAGGTCAAATCTTCGGCTGGAACCTCGAAAACTTGGAAAATTAGGTGGAAAATCTGAAATTTCCAGCCCAAAAGCCGTCTCATGCGTCCCAATGAATGCTAATCAAAACTCAACAGCTCGTCAGGGATGTGACGTCATCAGATGTAGATCAAATGAGATTTGTGAGGAAACTGAAGTTCAGTGTTTGATGGCACCATGGTAATTCGGATGGCTCCATGGATTTCAGACATTTTCAGAATTTAAAACTTTTTCCAGCCCAATTCAAGTAGCATGTGTCAGTATTATTCATACCAATGGAACAACAAATTCCACGTCACCAGGGAATTCACCAAGTGTGTGTCCAAGGAATCAAACGATGAGCGATTGTTTGAACAAGTGCAGTGAGGAAAAGTGTCCAGGAATTGGAATTGTGAGTTAATTGGGGGTAATTAGGACAGGTGACATCTAAGCCCTATATCTCAAAAGCAAGACAAGCTACTGAGAAGCTGTCAACTACACTCATACTCAAAATTAAACTCTACACACTTTCATAGTTTACAAAATTTATCTAGATACTGTAGTTTCGGAGCTATGTGTCTTTAAAGGTGACGCATCCTCTTCGGCTCCAGACGAAGGGTGGCGACAACTTTAAAGACGCAAATCTCACAAATGTCAGAAACTACGGTAGATAGAAAAAAGTTGTGAACTACATAAATGTTCAGAATTAAATGCTAAAAGGATCTTAGCCGTTCCAAACGGTCCTAAAAATTTTTCCTTGGGGTTTCGGTCCTTTGGTTCTAATATTTTTTTCACAAGAATCGAGATAATTGAGCTGAAAGTACTATAACCTTTTCCAGAGCATGATGTGTACCAAACACTGTGGCCAAGGATGCGCATGCGCTGCCGGATTCGTTAGATCCAGCGACGGAGAATGCTACAAGTCGAAGGACTGTCCACTGGAGCAAGTTTGCGGAGACAATGAAGAGTACCGATGTGAGAAGTGTGCTGGAACTTGCAAAAACCCCGAACCAAACTGTCCGGGACCCCACAATAAGAAGTGCAACAAGAAGTGCATTTGTGCAGCCGGATTTGTGAAGAAGAATGGGAAGTGTGTGACACTGGCCAGTTGTCCGGATCATGATCATAATGGTAAGAGAAGTTGTGGGAATTGACGCAAAAGTTCTGATCTTCAGAAATCACTTGCTTGGGAACTGAGGAGTACACCGACTGCCTTCCAAAATGCCGTCAACTTTGTTCAGGTGTTACCGAATGCGATAAGAACATGCACACGGAAATGTGCACGCCTGGATGTGTCTGTAGACCAAGTTACAAATTGGACAGCAACGGAACATGCGTTCACAATAGACATTGTTTTAAGAGTGAGTGGAATTGAATACCGTAATCTTTGAGCCCAATTATCTCGAGTTTTGTGAAAGATATCAAAAATGTGTCAACTGATGAAATGTTGCTAATTTCATGATAAACATTTTATCAGTTAACATACTTTTAATATCTTGCATAGGAACCGAGATAATTGAGCTCGAAGTTGACATATGAAATTTGTGGAAGTCTTATCTGCTACAAGCTCTTTTAAAATTGAAAATTTCCAGCCACTGACTGTCCTGTGAACGAGGAATGGTCCAAATGTATTTCGGATGACAATATCTGCGGAATGGCGACGATTCAGAAGGTTCCACTACGCGATCAATGCTTCTCGGGATGCATTTGTGCAGCTGGATTCGCCAGAAATAGTAATGGAACTTGTGTGGAGCACGACAAATGTTGATTTGTTTCATTTTTGGTTTCTAATGAAGACAGTTGGATTGTTATTGAAATTTTGAGATTGATGGGTTTTGGGAATCAAGAAAAAGTACAGGAATTCAATCGAATATTGATAAAATTTAAATAAAGAAAAGCTTTTGGAAATGTCAAGATTGACCTCAATTATCTCGGTTTTTATATTAGATATCAAAAATGTGTCAACTGATAATATACTTGTGATATTATGATAAACAATTTATCAGTTGAAAACTTTTTGATAACTCACAGGAACCGAGAAAAGATGGTTGAAAGTTGAAAGTTATGGGGGCTCTTCTAATACAGGTTATATTTTGAAAATAAATAAAGTTTAAAACTTCCAAATTGGTTATAAAATCACAAAACTCCAAAAACAATAATTATTAATTAATGAGGCATGTGCGCTCTATTGTCCACCTTTCACAAAAGGGAGAGGTGTCCGTTGCTATTGGTGACCCAAGTGTGAAAGGTTTTCTATTGTGTTGTTTCCTAAAATTATGAACTATTCATCATTTTGGAATTCACAGCTCTTTTTTCTCTCCACAAGCTCTTAACTCCCCAAAAATGCTTCTCTCAATTTTTATATTCCTCCTGAAGATTCCCTACAGTAACCATCAAACTGTCTCCTATGTGGCAGCATCCGTAAATCCACCCCATGGATGTCCGAATTTTGGACTATGCACTTCTGTGACAACTACACTGATTTCCAGTACAAATGTGTCTACAGTATACGAGTACGGTTGTGCACCGGACAATTGTTGGTGTATTGATGGAACTACAAACGGGACCTTGCCTTGTGATACGAGTGAGTTTGACTTTGAGCCAATTTATCATGGTTCGTGTAAAAGATATCAAAATTATGTCAACTGATAAAATGTTGCTGATATTATGATAAGCATATTATCAGTTGATCACTTTTTGATAGCACCAACAAAAAATGAGATATAGAGGTTCACAGTTACCGACCGTATTCCTTCTAAAAGAAGCCCGCCTAAACCGTCAAAGTTGGGCCAATTTATCTCGGTTCTTGTGAAAGACATCAAGAAGTTGTTAGCTGATAAAATTTTGGTGATATTATGATAAGCATTTTGTCAGTTGATCACTTCTCGATATCTTTCACAAGAAACGGGATATAAGGTCTCGAAGTTGAGACGTAGTTTATTCGATAATTACAAAGCTTCAGTACTCCGAAATTCACGGAAATTTGATATTTCGAAGAAATTAGAATTTCTGGCAATTCTGGTAATTCTCAAATCATGTTATAAAGACAACTTCAGAAAATTCCGAAAAAAAGATTTTTCGCACATCTTGAAAATTTACAAAAATTGGAATTATCACAATATAAAACTGCTATAAACATGCTCAGCTCATCAAGCGCTTCAAAATGAGCCCAAACATGGCTAGGCTCCGCCCATTTTGAAATTTCACATCGACACGCGACGCGCCCAAAAATGCACAGTGGGCGGAGCCTAGCCGTGTGGGGGCTCATTTTGAAGGGTAAAACCTGGAAATTAAGAGAAATTAGTTATGATTCGAAAATTTGGAAAATTAGAAGAGTAGTGACAAAAATGAAATTTTTATGAAAAATTGAATTTTTCAAAAAAAAATTTTTTTTTGGAAAATTCGAAAAAAAGACTTCAGATTGAAGAATTTTTTGTTTCCAGTCGAAGACCAATGTAGTGGTGATCCTTGTGGAAATCCAACCAATTTCCTATGCACTTCGAAAATCGACGGTCACGAATGTTCCTGTCAACCAGGCTTCACCGGATCCAATTGTGATTCAGGTAACTTTGAATTCCTAGTTGCTACAGTAATTTTTTCTTTTTAGAAGTCGGAACGGTTTGCGCTTCGGCACCCTGCCGATCAGGTGCCACTTGCCAAGTGTCAGATAACTCGACAACCGGATACACCTGTAAATGCACTGATAAGCAATTTGGAGATAATTGTGAATGTAAGTACTATATTTGAATTTCCCGCCAAATTCGAAAATTCCCAGTCGACAAAATCTGTGCAATTGCAAAGTGTTGGAATGGTGGAAACTGCTCAAGCATTCTAGACGATTCTAATTACTACTGTACATGTCCAGATGATTGGCAGGGGAGAAAGTGTGAAGTAGCAAATACGATTAAGGGTTTGATTTTAAAATTTTGGATTTATTCAAAATTTAAAAAAAATTAACAAGCTTATTTTCTGATTTCCAGTGGCCCCGGTATTCGATGGATGCTATAAATATGATTATGTAACGATTGGAGCACTACAAACAAAATACAGTGATAATCAGATGACATCTGCGAAATGCAATAATTTCGCGCAGACTCAGAGTAAAACCATGAACTATTTGAGTGAGTTTTGAAAACATTCTGAATCCCTGAATCTCAAATTTCAGCAATCTGCGGTCAATGGTGCATGGTATCTGAATCCCCAATTGCAAATGACACTTCAAATATGAACAATGATTGTAAAACTCCATGCGGTGGAAATAGTTCAGAATATTGTGGAAAATTGAACCAAAGATGTATTGTGTATGAAGCAGGGACTGTTGGTAGGTAAAGGGAATTTTTAGAAAATCCTGGATTTTTCAAATCGCCGCGCCGCTATCGGCTGAGCTGGCGCAATTGAGGCGGCCGAACAATTGGATATATAAATGCGCCAACTTTGAGCCAAGTTATCTTGGTTCCTGTGAAAGACATCAAAAAGTGGTCAACTAATAAAATTATAGTGATATCATGATAAACATTTTATCAGTTGACCACTTTTTGATACCGATCAGAGGAGATGAGATAGTGGGGCTCAAAGTTGACAGTCGTGTTCGTAATGTTCGGCCGCCTCAGCTGGCTCCACCGTAGCTCAGCTGGTAACATCTCGACACATTCATTGGTGAGCCCACGAGTTTAGCTCCTTGAAGAGCCGATAAAATTATAAATCGAAAAATAGTTGTTTGCTGATCCTCTTTTTTAAGAGCTTCACAAATGACTCGCAACACTGTCCACCATCTAAAAAATGCCACCCTAAGCTAGAGCTCAAATATCTCGGTTCCTTTAAAAGATATCAAAAATTTGTCAACTGATAAAATATTGGTGATATTGTGACAAATATTTTATCAGTTGACACATTGTTCATAACTCTCACAGCAATTTAGATATTTGAGTTCAAAGTGGCGAATGAATTGGGTGGGCTTTTATGACAAAAAAAATAGGTAACTTCGCTGAAAGTTCGTTTAGAAGTTAACCTAGACCTTCTAAAATTCGATTTCAATCTGAAAATCTCGAAATTTCCAGAAATGGACCCGAACCCCTGCACCAACACGTCTCTATGCAATGCGGACATTGGAAATGGGGTGTGCGTGAATTGGGCGGATACCGTAACCGATGGATACGCATGTGCTTGTGGACCGTTTTGGACGGGAAGAGAGTGTGATACCCCTGTCCCACCAGCTTGTGACCCAAGTCCGTGTATCAATGGGACATGTGTCACCAACCAGCAGTATAATAAATATACATGCGATTGTGATCCCGGATTCTTTGGAACAGAGTGTCAATGTGAGCTTTTTAGATGAAATTTGGCTTGGAATACCCCGATTTTTGCTTGAAATAGCTTAAAATAAAGCTGAAAATCATAAAAATTAAAAAATTCAGATTCCGATGTGTGCACAGCTTCTACATGTCTGTACGGTGGGACTTGTGAAGAAACCAACAATGGAGGATACAAATGTGATTGCTTAGATCCCTATTTCGGGAATAATTGTGAAGGTTTGTGGGTTTTTAGAATCGATTTTCCAAAACCTACAGTAACCCAACTTCTTCCAGAAATCAACCGTTGCGATTACGGTGATCCGTGTGTGAATGGAAAGTGTACAACTACAGTAAACGGGATCACTCCGGATTTCACATGCGATTGTGATGATGGATGGACTGGTGTCAATTGTGATACAAGTAAATTTGTTTTCAATATTTCATTGATGGGGTG